ACTGTTGTGGCAGCTCAGGCACCTCAGGGGCATCACATGCAGTTGATATCTGAGAGTTTAAATCAGCCTGTATGCTAAGACCGTGTAAACCCTCATTTTTGCTCTATCAATCAAAAAAAATTATCTTTTAGGAGGTTGTGAGAATAGGTTAAAATATCTATATATATTTGTTTAATTTTAAAATATGTCAATAAAGCAGTTCAGAAACAGAAAACTTTTGGAATGTGGGGTGCTAGGAGGGGTCCTAAGTAGTTTTGGTAAATAAACTATTCCAATAATAAGTATTTTGCTACACCAGTCTGCTCGGAAAAACTGCTTTTGTATAAATTCAGTAATTAATGTTTCTCTAAATTCTTCCCACAAGCCAATTTTTTTTTTTTTTTTGGGACAACCACCACAAATGACTAAATCTACATAATTTCTAAACAAAAATGTACCAAGACTTTAAAAGCGAAGGAGCATTTTAGCTGTTACATGGCACAGAACAATTTAAATGCACTCCACAACAATGCAAAAATTCCAACAGATAAGCAGCACGGTTTAAATTTGTTTACTGATTCTAATACCAAATCCCAGTTCCGTGGGATGTGTCTCAAAATGGTGAATTTTATTTTTTCCTTCATCTAAAACAACAACATTCACGTTTTCCGCAGTGTAGATGAAAGAAGGAGATGCCGGGGGAAGATAAAAACATGCATGCTGCCCTAAATGCTCGCTCATGGCCGTGAGTTGTCGAAAAGAGGTACAGCACTGTCTGTATCAATATTACTTTTACATTCAGTCACAGTGAGCTCTGCTGCTCATTTTCAGCACAGATATTATAGTGCTCATTTATTCCGTCTAACAAAGCAGGGCTTATGCAATTTGCTATTGTAGATTTTACTGTGTTCGACTTCTGACACTGTATTGTGGAGAAAATTTTTACTTGTGAATGCATTTAGAGGGGAATGTTGCCGTGAGGAGTTATCTTAGAAGTTAGAATAACAAACACGTAAATTGCTGCAGCATAAAGAGACTAACTTGCTGAAAAAATACTGTTTTGCATTTACTTTCTACATCTGTCTATGTGTTAAAATCCAAAGAAGAATGATCTCTAAATGTACAAAAATAATCTCTTCTGGCCTAATTTATAAAATGTTTGAGGAATAATATGACATTTAACACTCTCTCAAAAGTCATTTTTAGGAAGAACATATTAATCAAATAACAATGTGCATTAGTTACAATGTTAATGATGCGCTACATATATTGAGTAGAAACATCCACATACTATGAATTTAAAGAGAAAGAGAGTCATGAAAGAGAAAAAAAAAACAGTTATTTTTCAAATCTCTAAATTCTATTAAAACTATTTAGGTAATTTTGAGAGAACTTGGAACAGATGTAGAATTAATTTGTTGGCATGACTGAAGTGTGTTCTTATCTCTTGCTCATACAAATCTGTAACTAAATCAGCTTGTTGAAAGTAACCGCTGAATAGAGGTTGAGACCAGTTAAAGCAAGCTCAAACACATGTCACCGTGTGAGCCTCAGCTTGAATCGGAATTGGAAAAGTACCTCTTGAATGAAAACCAAAATTGCAGACAGGCTATAGGGTTAGCAGCACCAGAACCCCTGGGATGACTTGAAGATACAAAGGTTTGGATTGGAATCAGATGATCTGTAACCTTGGCAAGGGCAACTACCCCAGAGACAAGCATTTCGTTGAATGTGAGCATACTGAATAAAAAGTATAAGTTTTTAGAAAAAAATAAATTATAGGTAAATTAAATGCTGAAGAATGTGCTTCCCTTATCCAAGTCCTTTATATGGAATTTAGCCAATGAATTCGGAAATGAAATGTTACAAGAAACAAAGAGAAAGAAGTTGTATTTAAACCTATACGATGCCAAACAAACTTAAACTGCAAAATAAGCAGGACCGATTGCTTATGTGAGTATGGTGCGGTCTAAATAATTCTCTACAGCGCATAACCACAACACAACACTTTCAACTTTATTCACTCTCCTTATTAGAGCAGACTGCTCATCGTCTACTTCACAGAGCACCCATATAGCATCGCTGACAGCAGTAAGGGAGAGCTGCACACATGAACTCCTCACTAACACTTTCCTACGCTAACCAGCTGTCCCCCTGTGGTTTCAGCCTCGGCCAAACCTTTGAAATGTCCTTCAAGGCGTGAAAAAACAACATGCACACTGCTTTGGGTAAAATCCTATTTGTACACTATAATTACACTTTGAGAAGTTGCAAAGTTTAAAATTTCAAGACCTTCACTTTTTCTCTCCTCATTTCAGATATTGATTGGGCTCTAAAACCATGTAAGGCTTCGCTGTTCTACAGAACAAAGAGGTTTCTCATTACGGGCAGCGCCTCAGACAACTTTTAATGTTTCAGATTTGATTTACTGGTGTTATCAAGGGAAGCAATCAGGAGAATTCAGTCGATAGTTTTCACAACTGTGCAACCACTGTTAATTTGCTCTTAACAACAAGGCTACAGGCACTTTGAAAAGGTTATTAACGAGATAGAGGTTTGGAGTGATAGGTGTCCCTAATGTCTTTCATGCAGAAAATAAAGAGAAACACCAGCAAAGCCCATGACAGGCAATTTTCTGTAAGTCAACATACAACTGTGTGATGGTCTTCATCAAAAAGTAACATTGTTTGACTTCAAAATTACCTTCACAAACGCAATCCCCACTTTATATTTCAATCAAAATGTTCATGTAAAACAAAATGGAAGCATTAGCAACAATCAGCTACAAACAAAACAAATGACACAAACAAACCTTAATGTGAAAAAATGGTTACAGCTATTATTCATCACTGCCAAAAGGGACAGATTAGTCTAGACTAAATTTGTTATGTTGGCCACATAATAAGTATAATTACATAGCAACACTGTATTTACGGGAACATACAATAATTAAGTTGTTTTTGATTGCTATGCTTGTGTAAGTGAAAATAATTCCAAGTGAAACTGTTATTGTACCATTAATATCTGGTCCCATGATCAGTAAAGTGGTATCACTAATGTACACGTTAGCCACTCAAATGCAACCAAAACGTGTTTCTTCACCGCTTAAATGCATTTAATAAGTATTGGCTGTTTAAAGGCTGCTTTTAAAGTCTGGGATAAAATGTAGAGTCCCTTCCTGCTGAAAAGAATCCGCTCTACTTTTTGCTGTGGGTGTCAGATATGATACCCATTATTTAAACTGACCTTTCCTTGTGTTGCTTGCTTTCTATGCGGGGGATGCCATGAGGGAGCCACGGTGTCTGGGACCACTCCTCCCTGAAGTAATCAATAAGGATGCCCAGCTCCATACACACCACCAGGTGCTCGGCCCAGCTGCTTTCAGGAGAAGCCTACGAGAAGAGAAAAGCGAGAGGAATCAGGCACAGATGTATCATTGTTATTCATGCAAAGAGAGTCAGGATCAAGTTCGTAAGGGAATAAATTGAATACACAGGAATAGTTTCCTAGAAAATGAGTACTTCAGTGATGGCCAGTTCAAATCTGAATTTTAATTCTCAATAAATAAACCAATCATAAATCAACAAGAGGACTGCAGATGTTAATTATGTCTGTGCCTAAACTTTCAAAAATGTACAATCCACCTTATACATTTTATATCAATGTTCTATGTTGTACTTTAGTACAATTTTAAGTTAATTAAATTATTTATAATTTTCCTACCTTACACTCCCACCTCATTTTGACAAATGTAGCCTCAGTGGCATTGTTAGGTTAGGCAAAGGAGGCTATTGGCCTGAGTGTTTATGAATAGTCCTGAAGGTAGTTTTATATTTGTTTTACAAATGTATGAATGGTAAAAAAAAATAGTCCTGGTACTAATCATCTGTTGTAGTGATTATGTGTTCAAGCCCACGAAAACAATGATATGATATAGTTGCTCAAGACGGTGAGAAATTACTTTACAGTTTATAAAAGTATGATCTGTTTACTAAAGTAAATGTTTTTCCTTTCACTAAAACACTGTGTTTTATTCTGATTTTTTTTTTCATTTCTCAGTTACACAGCAGGATATCTGCAGCAGTGACATGATTATGTGTATGGATGTTCTCCCATAGCTACATTTAGAACACAATCTCTCTAATCATTAAAGTAACTCACATAATATGACAACAGGTAGCAGAGTACCAATGTAAACACATTTTATTGTTTTATTGTAAGCTGCTGTAGGAAACTTTTCCTCTTGCCAGCAGCTGCGTCTCTTATCCTGGGTGCAAAACCCTAAATACTACTAAACAAAAAGTATGAAAACAAGTATTTTCAAGGCATGCCTTTACATGTGAGTATAGCTCTATAAAACAGTGTAATTAAGACGAATTCCAAGGCATACAGTTAGCCCTTGGTCTAGCTGGCCTGCACTCACTGTGATATTAATGTGGACTAAGCACACAAAGAAAGTGGGAAAACTGAACTTTGCAGAGAATACAGTGTCTCACATTTTATCTCCATTTTACACTGAAATAATTTGAAAATGGCGTAATTATCAGATGAAAATGTGAAAACTGCTGGGCTGGGCTAACCCCGTAATCTGCCTCTGGGTGGTCTACTTTATTTAAAATTCGACGTAAAATCTCGTAAACTTATAAAAACATAACAGCCAAGATTATTTGATTAACACATTTAATAAAAAAAAAAAAAACAAACGTCTCTGTAAGCATTGTGTCGATATTACTTACCAACTTCCAACGAGAAAAGATTTCAGGTGTAAGGCTTTTAATATTACTTAGGTTCACTGCAATATTGAAACATTTACGTTAATTAACGCTTTAAATAACCGGCTGTTGTGATGAAGACAAACGCAGCACGATACAGTGCAGCAGAAGAAACGATAAGTGGCGAAATACATGTGTGATTCTCAAACTTTTTACCTTACAGGTGAGGACCTCCTGGTGGGAAAACGTTTGGGTGACTTCACAGAGCCTACGGAAAATCTCGCGATAGCGCCTTGTGGTTACCAGGGGAACGCGAGCCTGAAAAGTTGCGCTTGTCTGTTCTGCTTTCCTCCAAATGTATGAACGCCGAAGACTCACTATTGTGCTTCACAGTTTGCTAAACATGCGTTCAACAGCGTCGCTTATGGAGGAAGAGTAATGCACAGTCGATGCATTTGGATTTACCGTCAATTCACAGCAAGGTTGGTACATTAGTTAGCCGGTTAGCGTTAGCTTGCTAAAGCCACCGTAGCTTGTAGTTTTTAAGCTAGCTTGAACACCAACTTCACCAGCTGCGTGACACTTTACTCCATTACGAGGCAGTTGTAAGTGATGTTCGTTAACTAAATACTGACCGTAACCAGCTGTGTATCCAGCTGTTGAGTTAACATAGCTCGTATTATTACTTGGGTCAGTATGAGTTCACGTTTACTTTCGCCTGTGGGCTAACGCATTGATGGTTCGCGCTAAAATTCAATAACGTTAGAGAGTGTTTGTTGTGTAGTCGAAGCAAGGGCGGCCGACATCAAGCTAATGCTTGTGTTGTTTTCTGTCATTCACCCATTGCTTTTATAGTAGCCCAGTTAGCTCCACGGCTCGTTAATGGATGTTGTTTTGGAGATGTACAACCAGAGGGGTGTGCTGTGACAGCAATCTTAATTTTTTTCGTCACAGGTTCCCTTGTCATTGGAGCAAATAAATAATATACAGAAAAATGCCGTCACCACAAGTTCTCCAGCCGGTTCTTAAAATGAAGGTGGATGAGCTGTTTCTCAACTGGTTGAGTGATCCTGCGACTCAGTCACTACTCAAAGATTATCTTGACCTAATCAAAAGTGGACAGCATATTGATTTGAGCTCCAGGGATGCCCAGGATAAAAGGTCACTGAGCTTCAATGAAAACAACAATGTGGCATCTCAGAAGAACCTGGCAGAGAAGAAGCCTGCTCCTCTCAGTATTGCCTCCAGCCCCCCATCTGCCAGCACCCTGCCCTCTCGCAGCAGCAATAACACCAGAGTGACAGGACCCAATGGCAGAGTACTACGGAGGTCTGTCAGCACAAAGAAGGTAAATTACCTATTCAAACAGTCAGAAGATTGAACAACATCTATCTGATTGGTCAGTTTTCCCAAACATTTTATCAAATGGCAATGAAAGAGTTTCAGGAGTTCAGTATAGATTGAGGAACTCTCAGAATGTCGTGCAACTTCATCCTTGGCTGCTGGTAGCAGTATAAACAACAAGGTGTGTCCTGCTGTTCTTGTGTTCATCTTGGAGTCACCTGAGGTACCTGTGACACAAGGTGTGTTGCAGATTTATAGTTTCAGTAAGCCCTACCTTTGTTCAGTAACAGGTATTAGCAGTTCAATCTCACGTGTAGATAGCAGTTATATCATTGTAATGTTATGTTTGTTGATCATATTTAATTCATTTAAATCTGTCACATACTTAAAAATTGTGTTTTTTTAGTGCCCTGCACATTTTATGGACATTTTTGAGATTTACTGATATTAAGCATTCAGAAAAAGAAAGAGCATTACATTGTACAGCTAAAATATGTATTTGTCACCGCTCTCTGGTTGACAAACTATAATAACAGTAAGCCTCTTTTTTTTAAATTACATCAAAGTTCATTTTCCATTTTTGTACCACAACTTGTCTGCCTTGTCAGTTTATAACTAGATCTGGTACACTTCTTATGTACTTCTTTATTTACACTTATTTGTTCGTACTTATGTGTACATGTCTGCAGTGTAGTGCAATACAATACAGTAGCCTGAAATGAATTCTGTATTTGAAAAGCTACGTGAATTATCACTTAGTGTGTTTACTTGACTTTGACTGCAAGATTAGGATATATTACACTTGTAAATGGGGCATCTCTGAGTGTCTTTATTTTCAGAGGTTTTAACATTTCACTGTTGTCCAAACAATCCACACTTACATCATATACACACAATGTTGCACATAGGGGACACTTCGAAATGTTCTTTAAGTGCTGCAGTTTCAGTATCAGGGTCCTGGCATGGTGTATGCTTGCCCATTGTCAGACTTTCAAGGCTGACTAGGACAAAACAGACCTATTGTAAATGTTTCGAGTAACACTTGTATTTTGACAGGTTAAACTGTCTGCTGTGAGAAAGTCTAAAAACATAACTGATGTAAATATTATGTTGATGCTAAGCAGCCCAGCCAGAAGTTGTGCCCTACTACACATAGCATTAATATCAAATTTAAAATTCATGTCAATGGACTGAGTTACAGAGTTTACAGTAGATTATTTCTGCCACTTTGTAGAGGTTTCTTATAACTTATCATTTATTAATCCATCCTAAGACTGATTTAACTTTAGTTTTTCACGCTTTGCAGTAATGCAGTGGTTCTAACTTTTTTCCCACAATTTTTAACAATCTTTGACAATGATAGGGGAATAAGCTAATAGAAAAACGGGCTCCAAGTTTAATTTTCATGAATTAAGATCGGCACGATACCCTCAGCAGACTCTTATGTTTCTTATATAAATCATACTCATTTGAAGAAGTTTCACTCCATTTTTTTCCCCCCTCGGCCATCCATGCCCTCCTTGCACTGGTTCTGTGTCCACTCAGGAGGGCCTGGTTTAAAAACCGCTGCACTCATGTATCCTCTGGGATCTTTAGTTTCCCTGACTGGCCACAAGAGGCTGCTGAGCCACCTACAGTATCAAAGATGTTGAGAGGCTGTCCACTCTGGGCTATCATAGTGGGGCTTTCATGTCTGTAGGCATATTTAGTGATTATTAGTCAAATACCAAATGTTCAGGCCTCACCCAGAAATTAGTGCAGTATGGGAGGTGGGGGTGTCTGAACCAAGCCTATCCCTGGCACTCTGTTTTTTAACCTATGTGTTGTGGATCTAATTATGATGTGACTGAGGTCTCCAGAGAGACATAGTATTTTTTGCTTTGGACTGTTTCAATTATGAGACAAATTACAGCTGCACAAAACAATTAAAATGCTTCAGATGTTTGTATGTCTTCTCAAGGACTCACACTATGTAAAGATGAGAAGTGCAACGTGAAAGCACGGGCTAGTGGTGGATTGTGGACATGAGTGTAAGTGTGATGACAGTGAGACAGCCAGACAGCTGGGGGCACATGCTCCTCAAGACTCCTCCTTCTACATGTTGTTGACATGCTAAAGATGGGCATAAGGCGACGTTCAAGTAGCCACCAGTGCGACATCTGTTCTCTCTGTGACTGGAACGCCAGGGGCAGGAGAAATAGACCTAAACATAGACTCAGCAAGACATTTATTTTTTTATATCAAGATGATGGCAATGGTCATTATTACTGTGTTTTGCATATAGCCATACTTACGCATGGATTTACAAGTTATCATGTGGGCTTTTAAGCATGCTCTTTCGTATTGTTTCAAACCGGAATACAGTGTCAGTCAGTACTATAAAGAGTCCAAAATAGGGGATACCAGCTCACATAGTACATATTCATAGATTATTAATCCCAACTCTAGAATTTCAGCTTCAAATGCAGATTGCATTCTGTTTTAGTAATCAAAGAAAAGTAAAATACTTCAAGTTAAACATCCATTTAAATTTTTCATCTTCTATATATATGTATTATATTGGTCTAACTGAGGCCTTTTGTGAACTGATGAAAAATAATTTATAAATAATGTAACCTCATAACAAGAAGAATTTTAGGTTGCAGTTTTAGTTTTTCCAACTAAAGTGATCAGTTGACTTTGAATCTTTACTCAGATTCCATCCTGTTTGTTTATCATGACTCCTTATGATAATAACTTAGGAGTGTTGCCAGATATATGCTTATTTATGTAAACTGTAATTTTTCACATCTTTCTTCTCAGTGACCTTTGCCCCTTAATGCCTTCTCTCCTCAGATTAATGTAAAGCATCTGCTGGACAGTGTGTGTATTCTGCTGTGATGTGTCATGACATGTGGCTACTCTGTGTCACTCAATATTAAGGGGATTGTGAGGTTGTATAAATGTAATACTTCTATTTTAAGACAACAAAACGAATTCCTGCATACAGATGCATTCTTCAAAGGATTACTCAAAAATTCGATTTATGTCACACTGATGCAGCCTGGAACAGCTGGTCTGACTTTGACATCAGACACTGATATAGATAGCCTTGGTTCCCTTGTGTTGGCATTAGATACCCGGAACTCTGCCAGTGAGATGAGGTGTGGCAGCACATTCATCCTCTGTGTAATTTAGTTTGAAACTGCTTCTATTAGATGCTGCTCATTGTTAGGATATGTGGTCGTACATCTTTCATTTACACTATGTACAGTAAAGATCGGCTCTTCATGCTTTGGCTTTAAGGTCTGTTGTGTAGCTCAATACGAAATTGCCTCTGTGTTAGGAGTGCAATAGGTCACACAAACATCCAATAGTATGAAATCCAGAACAGTAAAAATACGCTTTCTTTGAGGGTTTGTTTTTTTATTCTGTTCTCTGTATCTGCATTTAGGATGACAGATTCCTGAAGATGTCTTTTTATAACATGCTTGGTTGTGCTCAGTAACATAGAAGCTATTTGAAGCAGGGGCTTTGGGGTCACGTTATCAGTTGCCTGACCTGTCAGAGAGAACCTGGTGTTAAACTGTTTCCCGCAAGTGCTTTTATTTTGGAATCTTAGTCTCTTGTGAGTCAAGAGTGTACAATTGCAAACTGTGGCTTTTAGCTAGGAATTGATCTAGGACTTATGTGTACTGATGATGTTAGTAATGCAATAGCAAGGTAGTAAAGAAAGAAAGAAATGTGCTTTCAAGGAATAACTCTTAAGCACTGTAGCATATTGTAAATTTATCAAACTTAAGCCAAAGTCTACTTTTGAGTCTATTAGTCTAACTTTTTAGATTTCAATATCTATGTTCTAGTTTTGTCATTAGTCATTTGGTATTGTCTTATCGCTGTTATAGATGCTGTATCTTTTTAAAAAATATAGTCTGGAGAATTTAGTATAGGAATATGTTTAAATCCTCTCAATCTCCAAAGCTACTGTCATTAATAACTAGCTGCCTTAAGTATACATTTATGTTACACTGTTGCGTATAGGGGCCCCTGTTTACTGTGACTTTTTATCTTCAGCTGCTGCTTTCTTTAGTACTCTAGACCCTTTGCTCCACTTCTCAAGCCATGTAGGCTACATAGATCTTTCACCAAACATCTATGAGTTGAACTCCACCATTGCATTATTACTCTTATGTAAGCTGGCTGATCTGCTCACATCATGTTCTACTTTTTGGCCTCCCCTGAGACCACTATGTTGTCAGTCAATGAGCCCACCATGTTATCGGTCAATCAGGCCTATTTTTGGCACACATTCACATATATCCCAAATCCCTGTCTCAGACATCCAATTGTGGTGGCTTGAGCTGGAGCTTTCTGGATTTCACCACAGCATTGGTTCTGTACTCATGCTGGTAACCAGCTGTGGCTCCACTAAAAGGTTGTGAGAAGGTTTGAATTTCCTCTGTTTGGATGTAACGATAATGTCGCTGGTTGAATCGTGTTAGTAAAGCCAATACTGAAGCCAATAGTACATAGTATTTGTGGGACACCATTTATGCCTGTATTGATTGTTTGGGGAAGGGGCAATTTGACTGGTTTTGCCCCACCCTGTTTTAATGTATTTTTCCACGCTTGGTTGTCTGTTTGCCCTGCATGTCTCTTGAATGTGACAGTTTTAGAGTAACAGTGTTGAATACCATGTCACCTGAACCTCAAGTGAAATGCAGCCTCAAAAAAATGTCACCTGACTACGTGGAATTCTAGCATCTAGACCTGTCAATGGTCACTATCTCCAGACAGTGTGTTTCATAATTTCATCTCTTACGCAATGAGGTGAACATGACTGGACATGTGTTTGTGTACAAATCAGATTTAGCAGTTTACAGATTAGACACATTGCAGGGTCAGCCTGAGTTTTCATGTTTTTCTGTTTGCCACAGTGACCCATCAGGCTGTAACCATAGTACTTCAGCAGCTTGTTTTACTGATAGTTGCCTCTCAGGGTGATTGTTGTTTGGCAAACCTGCCTATAATGGCCTTAAGATGATTTGGTTAGTAATAATGCTCGCCGGATCCTGTCCATTTTAGTTATTTAAAAAGCACATGATTCATGCAATCCTGTAGGACGATTATATATTGAGAACCTGTGCACTGTCACTGCTGTTTTCTCCATGTGTGTCTGTATTTCAGAACACTAATGGGGCTATTTTTACATGTGTAAAACAATACATTGTTATCCCTGCTGTGTTGTGATGCCTCTGTTTATGGAACAGACTTCAGATTTTGTTTGCTCAAACCATATACTGTACATATACAGTCTCTGGCTCAAATAGAAAAATGGACTGAACAGTACAAGCCAGTTGATAGTTTCATGACGCCCACCAGTTTTTTTGGCCTTGGTGCTTTCCTTTCCATGTTTTGTTTGAACTGATGAGCATGAACAAAAGGCAGGCAACGTGAAAAGCCTTCATACAAACAGCTTATCAAGCATGTGCAGTGTCCTGTGTGGAGGACAACAGGAACTGGGTTTGAGCAGAAACCAGTGGAAAACTGTGGACTTGGTGATCCTGTCATCTAAAAATACTGAGGGTGTGCTTTTTGTTTCTGTAAACAGTAACAGTGACATTAACAGATATGAGTTTATTTATGTAATCCTCTTATGTGGACATCACTATGCCACTTTTGTTTAATTGGCCATGTAGGTGTTCCTATGTGCCGTCTGTGCAGTGAAGGCACCTCCAGCGCTGTTAGATCAGAGTTTTTACAGAGAATTGATGTAATTGCCATCATTCCCTGATAGCACAACCGGAAGTGGATGTTTGTTTGGGGACTAAAGATACACTCTTGTTTCTCCAGATCCAGTTTCTTGGATTGACCAAATGGTGCTTGGTGATGCTTTTAATAGGCGCAGACTGGTTCGGTCATCAGTCTTTGAATTTGACATGTCCCGTTCCCCCCTCTATTGCCCATCAACTATAATAAGACACGGAATGGCTGGCAGCCCAAGCTTGCTAAGGGAAGGCAAAACAAAGACCACCATAAGATAGGATGCAGAGAAGTTTAAAATATGTTTGTCTTGTAGTTGTGTTGACTTACGCTCTTTTTATCTAATATCAAATAGTCATACCTTGCTTATTGTCTTGATTTGTCTATGCCTCATTAGTTAGTTTTGTCAGCCATTTCTTCTTGAGAGTTATGCTTTCAGATTTACAGACTTAGGTAGAAGCAATATGTAGCTTCTATCACTTCAGGAGGTTTATTTTGAATTTTCTCATTAGCATCTGCATATCTTGTCCAAAGGAAAGGGGTTCTAGTTTTCAGGGCACGTAGCACAAGCAAAGTTTCTCTGAAGTATTTTGTTGTGTGGAAGCTTCTCAGAAGGAAAGTCACTAACCATAAGCAGTGTGTCGTCATGGTACGGAGGTGCATCCTTCAATTGAACCCTACGGCTGCTGCAAGCCGCAACAACAGGTCTGTCTCTTTGCATAACCTTCCATGAGCACTGAGGAATGCAAACTGCAAAGGGCAGATCTCACACCCCTCCCATCCCACACATACAGTAAGTGACTGCCACACACATGCACCCAGTCACTCCTTATCTCCCCAGCAGCTTTGAGGCAAGGGCTCCCTGACCCTGCAGTACATGTGTGTATGTGCATGTTGGGTAGAGACTGGGACAGAGCAGCAGGCTGAGCTGAGATTGTGCGACCAGATCTGGAATGGGAGAGAGAGTCACAGTAGCAGCTGCTCCCTTGCATTAAGAGGCTCTCACTCTGACAGAGGACAATCACAGGGACATACACACAGAGGACCTCCACTTGTTCCACTGCCTTTTACTCACAGTGCTGACTGCAAGTGGTTTGTACAGTCGAGAGGATAACGCTGGATTGAGTGTTGTGCTTTTGTATATGTGCACCCCATCCTGTCTGGAGCGAGGATGAGGATGAGGGAACTGTCTCTGCGTCAGGACCCTGACCTGAGGAAGGAGCTGGCTCTGCTGGCACGTGGATGTGACTTTGTTCTGCCCTCTCGGTTCAAGAAAAGGCTCAGAGCCTTCCAACAAGGACAGGCAGGTGTTTGTATGAGTGTACGCTCTCACACACAGGCTTTGCTGGCCTGTCAGCCAGGCAGCAAGTCTATTAATGTGGACTGGTATTTGTGGGCTTCATGTCTCGGTATTCGGATTGCATTGCAGTACAATTACTGTTAAAGTACACTAATTGTTTGGACAAGTGAAGATAAATGAGCAGCTATATCACTTTTTTTGGCACATTTAAAACTTTTATGAAACAACTACCACATATAACTATGGTGTGTAAAACCTGATTGTTGTGCAGTCGCTTTCACTTTTGTTAGTGAATTACTTTTGCTGTTGTTGGGGAAAAGATCATCTTCATCTATACAAAGAAATATGAGATGTGAGCTTCGGTTACTGGATAATGTTTCTTCTTGCGTGGTATGTTGTGCTCAGCCGCTTTGCTGTCCTCTTTCGGAGCACATCATTGTGAATGTGCAAAATGTTGTGTGGCTTAGCAGTTGTGCTCAAGAGCTCTGCTAGCGGTTAGCATTAAGTGAGAGAGAGGGGACAGTGCAGGGCAGGGCAACAGGAGATGTTTATGTCCTTTTATAGCCATGGCAGACACCAACGCACAGGACAGAAGAGCTTAGGATCAGCAGCATTTATCATTTATCAGGTTAAAATGACCAGCTTACTGCTGGCAGAATACAGCAAAACATTTTCTGCCAGTGTTGACACACATACATGAACAAATTTAAATGGAAAGATTTGCCCATGTAACATCTGACTCCATAATTGAGATATATTTGAAAGATTTATTGTTGCAGACATGATGTTATGTGTAGGCTTGGTCAAATGAACAGTGGGTGGAAAGTGTCGCACCAAAACAAACACCAAGATGATAATTTTTATGTCTTAGCAGAGCACTGTGTGGGTGTGTTTATGTGATTATTAAAGGCCACACAGAATGATTCAGTTAGCAAATTCTTGAGTCATGTAAATAGTCTTTGGCTATGAGATGATGATTGAGTGCAAAGCAGGCTGTGCTCTTGCTGTTTTTAGTAACTGGCTGATATATGCAGCATAACAACTCATTTGGCTCCTGGTGTATTCTGGCTTTATATGTGTATGACTATGAAAATATTGTCACTGGTTCATGTTTTGTAGAACAATCAGAAAGTTACTGAGATGAGATTTTATCAATGAGTGAGATTTCTTTATAGTGTATCAGCTCTGCTCAGTTGGTATGGTGACTCATACTGGTTGAGAATCTGATTTATTGTGAAACTCAGGCCTGGGCCCAATGTTACACGATGCCATTGTTGTTAGAATTAGAATAAAGATAACTCCAGTTTCCAGTGTCACGACACACACATCTCTTCCTGGTTAAACAAGTTTTAAATAAATAGAATGATGATTATAGACTATAATAGCTCATGCTGCAGAGCCCTCACATACAAATCTATTTTCTGCTGAGGTCATAGTAGTTATTAGAACAAAAACACAGATGTATCCAAGCTGTGACGTATATGATGGCTTCTATATTACTGAGAACTGAGTGCCATGTAAAAGTGTACTAAGCACTTGGCAGTGGCACCTATTACAGGTAGCTACTGGGAACATTCAATTTCTTTTCATTTAAGGCATGTATGCAATACATGACTCCTACTTAAGAAACCACATTCCTACTGTGCCTCCCGTCTGAAGTTCACACTTTGTGCATACTGTACATAGATGACATGCCTGCCTTAATTGTATCTCTAAGGCTGTAATTGACAACTACTGTTTGCCATTAATCAGGTATGCTGCTTATTTCAAGCCAAGGCTGTTCTTTTATCTTCTCTATTGCTTTGTTTTTGAGGCACACACATTCTTGCATCATAACAATCACAATCACTTAGTTCTTTATTGACTACAGTCACAGGTTTAGGTTTAATTAATTACATTAATAAAGCTGATATATATTTAATTTAGACTTATCTAATTTAGACTCCGTTTGGAAACCCTGACATTGCTTGTTGGCTCTTGGTTTACTGATACACTTAAATGTATTGAATTTATTTATTATCAATTAGTTATTAATATGTGCATGTTCTGCTATGTCACGTAAAATTGTCTCCTGTGAAAAGGCTAAGTTATTGATTTATTTTCTTTTGTAGATAAGTGCAGTAATAAGGCTGTAATAAGATGTAAAGATCTAGCCAGTATTTGTGAGCATATGCTATAAAAACATATTAACAGTTAGATTTTTAGATGCAATCAAAATATGAATAGTTTTCCTCAACTAGAAACAAGAAATGACTAATAACAAAGTTTTAATAACACCTCTAAGCATAAGTAGATTTGTTTTTTTTGCTGCTATATCTTTATTGTGTTGGACCACCACATAGTGCACAATTCAGATGTATTCTTAAACTTTATAGTAAGCTATTGTGTTATAGATTTCCATAGGTATTAAGCACTGATGAATACTACATATTTCCCAAGACCAAATGATTGACTTAACTAAAATAAGGTAGTGTTCCCTGTAAATTGCTATCTAGCCCAGTCTGTTGTTATTATGTTTTATGTAGCCTTAAACTGGTGATTCTGTTAGACATAATTTAATAATCAAATTACAATAACAAGTGGCAAACATTGCGAGATCAATCACAAGTTTTAACAACAAACTGAAATGACTTGTCCAGCTACAATTTGCATATTAATACGAAATTACGCATCTCATTTGAATTCTGTTATAGAGCGAGTCTCTGCTATACAGGAATGTCAGTCACAGGGGTATCTGTTACAGATGAATGGACAATGATTATCATTGCTGAGTAGTTACAACTCTCCCCTGATAGGTCTTTGGGCTGTTTAGAGGTACAGTTACATGAGCACTAGCAATGTAGGGCATGTGTTACGGTGAACACATGCAGGAACACTTGAGCTAAGAGGTGTTAGCATTTGCTAGCATCAGTGGATAACAGTTTGTTTCTCTGTGTTTGTCTCAGGCCCAGGTGAGGACGGAGGAGCCAGTCACCACAGCACTGAGTGAAAGCATTCCCAAGTTTTACTTCCCACAGGGCCGGCCCAGAGCCAACCTCAACATCGACAGCCTCATTTCCAAAATTGAGAAAATATTTTCCCAATTCCCAAATGAAAGGGCCACCATTGAGGACATGGGGCAGGTTGCCAAGGTGAGAATGTGATTTGTAGCGCTGAGGTTCAACTGCCACCCAGCAAAGTATTTTCACTAGTGCCATTTAGCTCCTGACTTTACGAATGTTTGCTAATTTTAAATCCCCACGGAAAATATTATTTCCATGTCCCTGAGGAATGTGAGCAATGTCCTGAGGAGAACTTGAGTGAAGAGAGCAATGACAGCAAGGTTTCCTCAGGGAAGTCTTCAAATGATGCAACGCTACTTTTCTACCAGCATTATGTGTCTTTGTGCTCTTCTTTCCTGCATTAATGGTCACATGTATTTAAGAAGTTTTAAGCTCTTATTTAATGTTTTCTCCTCTCTCTACACTGCCCCATTTTTCCTGCCTCCTTAGGCTTGCGAGTGTCCCCTCTACTGGAAAGTGCCATTGTTCTGCTTAGCTGGAGGCGACAGGACGGGCTTCGTGTCCGTTCACAAGTTTGTGGCTATGTGGAGAAAGTAAGACAATAGCTGCTCTTATTCTCACTAAACCACTGGTGCATTCACTCACAGCCAAATGGCTCATACAATCTCCTCTGAACAATGATGACCACTCGCTTGGGATCACAGACACTGCATGCAGCTCTCTGCTATTATGGCTTTTTCCTTTTCATTCCTTAACAGTAATCATTGCCCTCATAAGCACCACAAGGGGGAAGTCGCTGTGCATATCCAGTATATAAATGAAAACATCCATTCAGTGTCTTTCTGCATGAAGCTGAAAGGAATACCATTGGGCTTTTTTTTTTTTTTTTTTTTTTTTTAAATAATGGCCGTGTGTTGAATGCTGTTGTGTGCAAAAGGCATGCTCTTGTATTAATGTGTGAGCCTCCAGAGAACTGGACAGACCTGGCCTTTGACTTGAGCTCATGACTGAGCCATTCTTAGATGAGAGGCCACAACAGACGCCTGCATTATTTTTGTGTCGCTACCATAACACTCTGCGCTTATAATCACCCAGCAGCAATTCAGAATCCTAATTTCAGAATGTATTATACCTACACTTGCAATTTTTATTGGAACAATTTGAAACTTGTGCTCTTGAAACAATGATAAAAAAGGATCGAGAAAACATAATAGCCAAAGTGGGAGTAACCTTGCAACCATCTGTTCTCTCTTTTCTTCTCCAGAACTCTGCAGACCTGTCACGATGACGCTTCTAAATTTGTACACCTCTTGGCCAAGCCTGGCTGTAATTACCTGGAACAAGACGACTTTATTCCATTCCTGCAGGTACTGGCTGCAGCTCACCCAGGGAGAGGGCTGGACTTGGCAGTGTGGGATGGCAAAATTGCATTGGCCTGGGTGGTGCGAACTGGACTTAATTTTTGGACTGCCCTGCTGAGGCAGTGCTTTTTCATGTGGCGGACGTCTAATTCCGGGATGTTACTGTAAGCTAGTACAGTGCAAGAGAGTATGCTGAAGGAAGAGTCCCCTGACACAGTATTCATGCTCAGTGGTTTTTAACTAGGGGGAAGTGGAGATGAAAGCATGTCTCATATCATAAACACATGATAGTACCAAAGTAATCCTAGAAAACATGGACTCATGGTCCACTTATTTGTTTTGTAAGACAGGTTTAATTGAGTGTTCAGAAATTCTTACCATGTGGACCCGCTGTGGTGGCTATTTGTATTCTCATTCCATCTGACAAGCTGTTGGTGTGCCACACTGGCTCCGCCCTACACCTGATTCATTTTCATGCTGGCAGGAGCGACCAGTCTGAGCCGAACACCCGTTAGCATACCAGCAGAGATGCCTTGTGGCACACGCTGTTTAATTTGTATGGTTCCACTAGGCGAATCGTCTTTGACTGTTTTGATGAATGAAAGGCGGATTGCAGTGGAGTAGATTTGACTGTCCCCGCCTGTTTCCTGTGCCCTGTGATTTATGTGTTTCTCTATGATTTAATTTCTCACAGTAAGAGTCAAAGAGGCACGACGGCTGCCCTGAAATAAGACCTTTTAATTTCATTGCCGCCTTCGCATTTATGTCAACAATTCTTTCCCCCAGTAGAAGGAGAGGCGATAGAATAAAGAAAAGACATGAAGGAGTTTCATGGCTAGAAAATAGCTAGTTTATTCGAAATGCAGCACACTCCCCATGACTTTATGGTGTGATGAAGGAGACGAGTTTAACAGCAGTCACCAGCAAACATCTTTTCTTTTTTTTCTTCTTCTTTTTTTTTTGGGGCCCTCCCACCACTTTGGCAAATCAAAAAGGTTTAAGCTCATCCCAAAACCAGTTGGCCCAGTGATTTGTGATTTCAAAGAAACGTTTAAGTTGGATGGCCTCTTCCCACACGGCCTGGAGCTTTTTCTTCACATTGCACAATTCATAAAGCATATGGCATGACAGAGTAATGGAGATGGACACTGGCAACTTCTGATGTTTGAATCAGTATGCATTCATATTCCTACTTTGAAAGTCATGTGTTCTGTCTACCAGAAAAGAGAGACAGATGTGGTATGCCATTTACCTCGTCTCTGAAAGTAACTACAGACTTGAACTGAACATGTGTATTTGTTAGTGTAGTAGGCGTAGCATGTCATTGAGTTTGTCTTCAACGGTTGTGTTTGTCCATTTTGTTATGGAAATGAAGCAGATGTGGAGTAAAGACAAAGTGAGCTGACTTTGCTTTATGTTTTCAGGATGTGGTGAACTCACACGCAGGCCTGGCCTTTCTTAAAGAGGCACCGGACTTTCACTCACGATACATCACAACGGTAACCCTGCACTTTACAAGTAGTAAAAACATAGAAAAATGGCATTGATCAAAGTTTGCTTATGTAGTTTATTTACTTTTTTTTTTTTTAGGTGATTCAAAGGATATTTTACAATGTGAACCGGTCATGGACTGGAAAAATAACATGTTCTGAGCTCAGGAAAAGTAACTTTCTTCAGGTAAATCCTCACATATTGTGCATCTTTTCTATTTATACTCAAATGCATCGTAGCTACTTTGCTCATTCAGTTTTCAGGTCAATAAAATATTGAAAAGATGTTTTTTTTTTTTTAAATAGGAGAATTAAAGGTGTAGTGTTTTAAATATTCATTTTGAAGAATTCTGCATTAAGAAAGTATTAACAAAGACTTAATAGATAGAAGGCCTAATGCTAACCTAATACACATGAATACAGATATATTTTTAACCAATCACTTTGCCTTATCTCCTGAAGGTAGCTGGCTTTGAGAATTCCAAATTTACTTTTGTCTCATTTTTTAAAATCATTTCTATCTTCCATGGTCATGTGGAACAAGAAACACGAACAGTCAGATGAAAAGACATGTTGTAAACAAAACAACAAGTTAGCCAATTTATCAAAACCACCATCCAGAAGTTAGTGCACCATGCACCAAAAAAACTGCATACAATTACAACAAGGGAAGGTTAAGCAAAGAAGTCTATAAACTTTTCTAAATGTTTACAGTGCCTGTTTGATTAATAGTTTATATGTAATTAATAATCAGAATAATATAATTTTGTAGTCATAACTTTTTTTTTTCCCGTTTCCCAGAATGTGGCATTGCTGGAGCAGGAAGAGGATGTGAACCAGCTTACAGAGTTCTTCTCCTATGAACATTTCTATGTGATCTACTGCAAGTTCTGGGAGCTGGACACTGACCATGACCTCTACATAGACCAGACAGACCTGGCAAGGCACAATGACCAAGGTACACACACACCTCTCACCTTCACAGTAGACTTGATTTAAAAGCCTTTTTTTTAGTTTGTTTGTTTGCATTTATTTTAGCATTGTGTTAAAATGCATGGTTGAAAAATGCATGCACAAGAGGCAGAATGAGTCCTTGATTTTTGTCAGAACTTAATAAATTTTTCCCTAAATCTTCCTGCCACTTGACATTACAGTCAGTAGGCTGAAATTACATGTAACAATAAAAGGCATTTGTAAATGTTATTTCAACCAGGTTTACTCCTCACACACAAACACATAGCCAGGAAAAAGATTAGTCTTTGACGCTTCCTCGCCTCACACTCCACACCACATGTTCTTGGTTGATGGTCTGAGAGTGAGGCAGGGGAAATGAGACACAAGATCAATAAGAGAGCAGCTTATATACTCCACTCCAATGACGCCATGTCTGGAACAATTTCTACCACTATATGGTCAAAATGATGACCGGAGGATTTATGGTATTGTCAAGATAAAAAACAGCTACCCCCGCCATTCTGGATTTACAGTCTGTGAGAATGGATTACATGTGTTGTGAAAAAGTTGTACAGTAACTGAGAGAGCTGTTGTCCAAGAGAGACTTTTTTGTCCTAACACAGTGGATTGTTAGTAACCTTTTTCGCTGTGTGTTTTCCAGCCATCTCACATAAGATGATTGAGAGAATATTCTCAGGAACAGTAACAAAGTAAGTTGATGCCATTTAGTTTAAAATGATGGTTATCTCATCTCCAGTGGCAGTTTTAAATCCTGGTTTTGTGGTTTATTCCGTCAGGGACAGACGTGTGTATAAGGAGGGGCGGCTGAGTTATGCTGATTTTGTCTGGTTCCTCATCTCTGAGGAAGACAAGAAGACCGACACCAGGTATCTTAACACTCACCCACACTGATCACATCCTCCTTTTCTTTACAGTTTTTATGTCTTTGCTAACCCCTGCCCCCCTCCTCCACGTTGTCACCAGTATAGAGTACTGGTTCCGCTGCATGGACCTGGATGGTGATGGGGTGCTCAGCATGTACGAGCTGGAGTACTTCTACGATGAGCAGTGCCAGAAGCTGGAGACCATGGCTATCGAACCCCTTCCCTTCGAGGACTGCCTCTGCCAAATGCTTGACCTTGTGAAACCCGAGGTCGAAGGTCAGACCTGTTTTACATTTATACACTCTCTCAGAAGTTCACCTACCAGAGAGTCTGACAGTTTCCACTTTGTCCACGGTCACAGCAGCGGACACACACGTACACATTTTCAGGCCAGATCATTGATTATTAGCTGAGGGAACGGTCATAGATAAGAGACTGACTGATCTACACTGCCAGCTGCTGGTGTCATCCACACTGTCAGCAAATCCCCTCCAGCACTTAGCTCTTCCACTGTGTCATTTAGAAGATACTAGTGCACGGTGAGGGTGAGCATGTTCGGTATTGACGGCCACAGCAAGAATGTGACCCTCAGGCAGCCTGGTGGTATGCAGCACTAGTGGAGCTGTGTAATGTGACATGTAACATGAGATGGAAAAGCGTCTTCATGGAATATTCGACATGTTTTCTTGAACAGTTGAAAAGACGGTACAACTTGTCCAATTGTAACAGATGAAAAAGACAGCTAAGATTTCACATTTAATGATGTCGTTGGTGAGATTTTGGGTTTCTGGCGCAGGAAAATGAACGTAAAGACTAGCTGTAGATGTTACAAAGCTCGTGACGTAATATGCATGTCATGTATTTGTAGAATATTTACTTTACCGCTGTAAAAAAAACAACTGCATAGCTTTTTTCCCTAAACCAAAAGCGTTTTCTATACTCTGTCAAAAGTGAAATTAGCCACTTGTACTGCTAAAAATACACAAAAATCACAGCAGTACATTTTATGTATTGCATATATAGTTATGTGAGGGGTGCTGAGTTAATATCAATATTCTACACCCTACTTTCAGAAAACATGTATTTTTTACTGTAAGACAAATGTATTTAAAGGCATCAAACTAATGCTGATTTGGCTTTTGCTATCATGACCCTTGAGTTTTAAAAGCAGCTATAAAAGACAACCAGTTAGGCAGAATATAAATGATAATTAAAAAGACTCTTTTTGCCTCAGTTACACCACACATTTTATCTATTTTTTTTTTTTTAAATTTCACAGATTAATGATATTGTTGCTGCTACAGTTAATGTTAACCAATCACAAAATCAAACAAATTGTTCATCAAATTCCTTTAAAATCAAGAACATTTACATTTTTCTTTCCTAAATTTAAAAATGTTAGCTTTTGAATGAATGTAAAGATTTTTATATATATATATATATATTTGTATTTTTTAAAAAAAAGGCTAAATAGTCATTGAGAAAGAGTTAATTAATCAATCATTGGTTGCAGCCGTTCTGTAGTTTGACCAATATGCTAGAGACCACATCCTTAAATCCTTAGAACACAATAAGGGGGGCAGTTAGGCGACTTAGTGGATGTTGTAACAGTGATGTCAGTACTAAGTGTCAGGCCACTTCTAAAGGCTAACACCCTTGTAGTGAGACCCAATCCCTCTGAAATGATGTAATAATGCCCTTGCCATAAATCATCTGTCACATGCTAAGTCTGTGTTTGAGAACTTAAGTACCTGATTTATCCCATCCAGGTAAGGTCACGCTGCGGGACCTCAAGAGGTGCAAGTTGTCCCACATTTTCTTTGACACCTTCTTCAACATCGAAAAGTACCTGGAACACGAGCAGAAGGATCCCTTCTCTGTTATCAGGGTAAGTGAGAGTAAATTGTGATCCTTCAGAACACATTTGTTTTCCTGTCAGAGATCAAGCTGATCATGTAACCTGTCATGTTTTGAAGGAGGTGGAGACCGACGGCCAGGAGGTCTCCGACTGGGAGAAGTACGCTGCCGAGGAGTACGACTTACTCGTGGCTGAGGAGGCTGCCAATGATCAGTGTAATGATGTGTAAGTGTGACGTTACTGAGATTTGTCAAACTGATAAAAACATTGCAGTTATTTAAGTGAGAGACAAAAGAAGAAAAAAAAAAGACTCCCTTTCATTCCTACTTATGAAGCTTTTAAATTTCATTTCATTTTTAAAATTTAGAGGTCTCTTAAGTTAGATGAGAATAGTTGATGGTTAGGGTTAGGGTTGCAAAAAACAATAAAATGGCCGTTAACTCACTTCTTATTATTTTAATCATACTAGTATTTTCTAAATATGTTAGATTAGTGTGATTTTCACTTCAGTTGCTACTAGAGATAATTATTTCACACAAACTAAATTATAAAAGAATAATTTTTATGTCAATTTCACAACTTTAAACAATACCAAAGAACAGTAGGGCAGATGAAAGGGAAATCTTTATCTCTTATTGTCTTCAAGCATACATGTGATTACTTAAAGCTGCTTGTTTAATGGATTTATTTCATAACTTATTGGTGTAATTCTTGAAACTTCGATAAATGGGCCCCGATTATCGTGTTAGATTGATTACAAATGTTTGTCATAATCATGAGCGCTGTAGGACCAATATAACATGGTTATTAGATATGGAAGCATACAGTTTGTTACATTTTTACAACATTTTGGCACGTTCAAGACTGAGGGGTTGTTAAAAAGTTAATGCACTAAAAGCTACCGTAGCTAAAGTAGTTCTCAGGTCAGCTGAGGTCAAGCTGATTTCAGTTTTCTAAGTGGGCAGCCTTTATGGCAGAGTGACGGAGCTTGATGTCCTGTTGCTAAGAGGATAACGTCCAGCAGCAGAGCCCCTCTGACAGTGAGTCTGCGATTAACAAGGCTGTTGACAGGTATGTTGTGTGGCGATTTTAGGAACACCACCGACTTCTAAAGACAGGCTGCTAACCAGAGCAGGTAAGACATTCAGGGTACCAGCATAGACTAAGTTTTCTCCTCCTCCTCCACCTGTCTGGGCGAGTCTAATCCCAAACCCACTCCTAGTTTCTACCCACATCCACCCCCCAACCAATCTGAGCATACTGTTGACAGCAGGTCGTTGTTTCGTCAGCCGGCACAGTGTCATGTGTACGTGGTCATATCTTAGAACTGGGAGTCTGTTTTTGAACCAGACAGCTTCTGTTTTTATCGTTCCTCTTCTTTAAAAAAAAAGAAAAACAAAGCTGTTCTCCTGCCCTATCTCTGTTCATGCCTTCATGTGGTGCTCCTGTGTCTTTTCCAGTCACACTGGCTTGTTACAAATCTCCTCTGTTTTAAGAAGTTGTTCAACATTTTGGGAAATGCACTTACTCGCTTTCTTGGTAAGAATTAAAAAGAGAAGATTAACGTCACTCATGTCTACTGATAAATATGAAGTTATCATCAACAGCCTGTTAGCTTAGCATCAAGAATCCTCCTACCATCACTTCAAAATCTTCTTTGCTTAATCAAAGTATAAAAATGTTGATTTCTCAACTTGGCACAAAAATGTGTTCATGTTGAATCGCCAACAGGTAGATGAAGTTTTTTCTTTGTGCTTAGCTAAGCTACCTAGCACCTTCTCTTCTTCTCATTTCATCCAAGTCTCTGCAAGAAGGTGAATGTGTATTTCCCAAACGTGGTTATTCCTGGGCACATTCACCACAGTTTTATTCTTGAATGTGGTCGACTGTATCATACACTTTGTTTAAAATTTGTTTTATTATCAAAACGTAATTTTTTCATATCTTAAAACTAAACATGTCCAGATGTGCATTCAAAGAGTTTTTGCTCACTGTAATCATTCCTTTTGTGCGTACTGGCTGGTAAATCTCTTCCCAACATGTTCCCAAAGGACAGAAAGGACAATATCCACAGCATTCATTCAGTGTAAAAACGTATTCTAAAGTTTTTCTAACAGAAATGTAAAGCAAGACTTAAGTGTTGTATTACAAAATCAGAGTTTCCTTGCTGAGCTCCTAAATTGTCAAACTGTGATTGCTGAAGCCTCATAAACTTTGTAGTAGATTTTTGTCTGGAATGAGGTCTGCATTTTAGGTCACATCACTTAAATTGGAAGCTCATTATTGGCTTATATGAACAGGAGGAATAATTACAGGAAGAAAAAAACTGTTTTGATGTTCATATGGGCATGTGATTTTTGTTTGAGGACAGCTAAAAGGTCTCCTTTTTCATTGAGATGACTGATTCTTTTCTCCATGTGTCTGTTCAGGTATGATAATCCTCTGAGCCCTTTGGGGCAGCACATCTCCACTGAGCTGGGTCTGACAAAGAGACACTTCTTTGAGATCCCCAGTCCACACTGCAACCTGGACCTGGATGAATACGAATATGAAGATGACTTTGAATGATGCTCTATGCATTTTCTCAGAAGTACCTTCCACTCCCAGAAACAGAAGTCAGTAGGCCGTGTTAGTGGTTGAATCGCATCAAGCCAACATCCACAGATTGAGCTTGACTCCCATCCTGCAAAACAGGACTCACTTCACCAAACAGAGTAAACACAAAGAAGACAGCCAGAGCATTGGTGGAGGCAGATTTTCTGCGAATAGCAGGAGAATGTTCTCACACATTTGACAAACAGGAGGAAGTGGTCTTTCAGGACCGAACCAGATTAACATTTTCACCTGTCGCACTTAAAGAATTCACCACAGCTGACTTCACGTGATCACAAGCAGCATGTTTTAGACCTTTGCTCCCTCCCCACACGTTAACAAGTTGTTTTCTGCATGTAATCTTGTGCATCAATAATGTTTTGGGGCGAGTTTTTGTGTCATCTGAATATCGGTGTTGTGTAATAACGTCACATGAGCCAAATCACATTCGTCACAGACTTGAGCTCCCCTGAATTCTTGGACAGAAACCATGTTGATTTGCTTCAGTATCGAACTTATTAGCTAGTGTTACATTCCAGTGATCAGAACGAAGGGTTTTCTTTGAGGCTGTAAATTCATTCATGGTTTGTCAGAAGTTACCTTAATGCCAAACAAGCCACCGTTGAGCCTTCTGCACACACACAAGCACACAGTTAAGACGGCCGCACACAGCGTATGTTGTACAGGTCTGTATCCGTTATGACTTTAACGTATGTGTGAGATGGGTTTATAAATTATTAGAGATGAATTTATAAATGACTGTAAATATTTATTTTGTGCTTGCTGTGTTGTAAATGAATTGGGCAAGTGTTACAGACATTCTTTTTTCTATGTTGCAAAGTACTTCAATGGAATGTACTTTGGGAGAACAAAAGGAACCATTTTAAAACGTTTTGCTTTTTTCTTTAAATTAATAATAAAGCCTTGGTTAATGGAAGAGTAACGGAAGCAGACTGTGCAGTTTAATGTGGTACATCTAGTAAACACAAGTTGTGATATGTTTACTGCTATATGTTGTAAATTAGAAATGTGTGTCAGCTGAAAGCCATATTACTAGAATATTTTCAAAATGTGAAAAGCACTTTGTTGGTGATAAATGCTATTCTGTCACTTAAGCTGCTGTACACAAACATACATAAATGTGCACATATTAAAAAGGTAAAGACATGCTTTTTGAAATATTGTAAAATGTATTAATGGATGTTAAGTCAAACAAGGCATAATGGTATTTATAGAAGTGTACATGTTGCAAACTAATGCAGAGATTTGCATGATTTTTAAAAATTTTTATTTAAATTATTTTTGCATTAAATACATAAGTAGTGATAAAGTGGCAAGTAGGAAAATAAAGCACAATTCTCAATTGACCCTCTATAATTTTTGATCTAAGTATGACCCAAAAGTAAAATTAAAGGATAAATTATTTAGTGTTACTTTTAACAGTCAAGTTCAATTTACAGTAAAGCTGTATGTATAAAATAAAATAAAGTATTATAATAATAATAATCTATACACATACTGATACGCATGGTCCTCAAATTAAACCATTCAATGAATAATCATACCAGAATAAGACTGGTATTCGTAAATATATATTTTTTCATGAAAAGACTAAAACCAACAAATTGTTTAACTGACAATTAAGATCTTACCCAGTCTGCATTGCTCAGCCCAAAACCCATTAATAAGTCCTGAAAATGGAAACCTTTCTTAAAAATGGTCATAAATATGTAATTTATGTTTGAAAACAGGCTTAATGATTTACTGAAACACCTCAGCACTGTAATCTCCAACAAAAGATACTACAATAAGCAAAAAGTGCATATGTTGGGGACTATTTTCAGCTGCGGAATAATACACGTTTACAGCATTTCAAATTGGTGTTTGTGGGACCGACTGTAAACAAATTACAGTCTGCATTTATGGTGATGAGGACATACAGTGTGCACTGTAACTGTGTCGCTTCTTCTTGAGGGAGTAAGATGTGTCAGACTTTGGAGCTAATATCTAATAATTCATTGTTGGTTTTGGTCTTCACATGGGTGAAACATCACCGTTTAGGATTGCATCCTCCGAAAAGCATAATACACTGCATGTTCAACATGTTCATAATTGTACAAAAATTGCACGCCCAGATGTCTGGACATCAAACAGAGAAGACACTGCTTACAAGGTGCAAGAAAAAAAGGAAAACATCTCTCAGAGTCTGTGATATCCAGTGATGTTTTTACACAGGAGCACCGATTCTACCCTCATATTTACAGCTCAACCTCTACGGTGTCATCATCGGGCTCATTGCCGGTGCTCAGGACAGATCCCTCAGTGTTGAGTCTTTTTGCAGGAGGCTCCAGAGGGACAGAAAATGGATCCATTTCAGCGGCCTTCTCCTGATGGCTGAGGAGTTTGGTGAGATTACAATAAGTAATGTGAATGAGAGGAAGAAGATTTGACACTCCATAAGGTTAAAAAAAAACAAAAAAAACAGGGTTTTTCCTGCCTCAAATTGGGCCTTTGGGGCCCTTTTTAGGGTACAGTGAATTAAATTAGTTTGTGTTACCTAATTTGACAGAAATCTGCATTTTCCAGTTATCTCTGATAATTTCATAAAATGTGTTATGCTTGAGTACATTAAACCCTAACCAACGAAAGAGATTTAAAAGTTGAATTGCTATTCTGATCGTCAGTTTTTATCATTTTGGTGCTGGCTAATTGCCCTTTTGGGGACGCCAGAAATTAATCTATGCAAAAAAAACTGTGAGCAAGTGAGAAAGCACTGCTGAACCTCACCTTGGACTGAAGCTAGGTCTGTGACCTTTGCTAACTTTGGAATCAACAGGGCTGAATGGACACGGGGACTTGCTCCCTAAAAAAAACAAAGAGAAAGCACTTGGTGACAATGCAGACATATTTCAGACTTAGATGAGTTGTGTCGTGCCATACCTTCCAGTTTGGGTTTGGAGAAAGGAGAGCGGTGGGGCTGGTAGGGCTTTCTGTCTGAGCTTACATAAGATACAGCATCCTCCCCTTCAGCTGCAGCCAATAGGGATGCACGGTAGTAAATAAGCGGCTGCCAGCACTCCTCCCTCAGGTCAATAATGTGCTCGGCAGTGTGCTTCTGCAGGTAGGAGAACCTGCACAGACACGAACAGACTTTCAGAAATTTCAGCGTTAATTATTTTGTAACCAAGCATGTTGCCTGCAGCACTTACACCGTCTTCTTGTCTGGTTTGAGCAGTTTGCTGGAGAACTCGCTGAGGATGGTCAGGTAGGAGAGGTACAGCGGTGTGGCTGTTGCCGGAGTCTGGCTAAACTCTTGGAACACAAACTCAATGCCGTTCCTAAACATATTACAAACATATGAATTTCAGGCACAAAAACTCACCAAAACAAATCCAAAACTGTGAGAAACAAGAATCCCTGCTGACCTGTGGATCATCACCACACACTCGCGAAACTTGACGAGGTCCCCGAAGGTGAGGGCGAATCGCCTGGCCAGCTCTTTAATGCTGGTGAAAGTCTGGACTCCTGGGTGAACTCTGCCGCCGCTCTCTTGTTCCCGTTTAAGTCGCATGAACAGCTGGGGAGTGCAGAGAAAAACGCATCAGCATCTTTCTGAATACCAGTGACAGCGTGTGGCTGCAGCTCATTTTTTTTGATATACAGAGTGACTTACCTGCTGCAAACTGAGCACCATTGTTCGAGCACTCTCTATCTTATCCACCTGCCTGGTCCTATACATGGTCTCCTTGATGATGTCTCCAAAGTCATTGTAATACTGAGGACAGAGAGAGAGAAAAAGATACAGCACACTGTATCCAGAGATATGTAGAACATCAACAGCAGCATTAGATGGAGACTAATTTACTGTCTTCTCATGTATTGCCATTCTGGAGGGATTGAAGCAAATCCCTCCATTGCACAATAAAAACTATTATAACCTGCTTCTCAGAGTGCAGCTTTATTTCCTTATACATGTACTCAGACATAACATATATCGATCAGCCACAACATTAACACCACTGAGAGGTTAATAATATATCACCTCGTTACAAAGCAATGCTCTGTTTTGAATCTTGGGTCCAGGCATTCATGTGGATCTTACTTTGACATGTACCACCCACAAAAACACTGTTGCACACCAATCACACCCCCTCAATGGTAACAGTACTCCCCGATGGCAGCACCTTCCCCTGAAGGACAATGCAGCTTGCCACACTGTGAAAACTACTCAAGGAATCACACATGGAGCCCACGGCGTTGATCCAAACTCCTCAGATCCTAGTCTGATCCAGCATATATGGGATGAGGTAATACAAGCCTGATCCACGGATGCTCCACCCTTCAACCCACAGAACCCAAAGGAGCCATTGCCAAGATCCCAGTGCAAGACACCACAGGAAACCCCCTGAGGTGCTGCGTTCGTGTCTCAGCTATACAGAACTGTTTTGGCAGCATGAGGGGAACATAAACAATATCAGACAGGTAGTCCACAGAGCTCTAACAACTGGACTTCTCTTTTTGGTTTCCTAAAGCTGTTTCTGTCTCATCTGAGAAGATTCTTCAGTTCCTCCTGATTGATTGGAAGTTCTAGATATATGTTGTTACAACCAAATCACATGGCAAATGGCCCATTAATGACCCAAGAGTCAGGGGCTTCGGGGTAAGAATGGTGTGATGGTGTGAAACTGCCATGTCAGGGATGACTCAGGGTGTCAATGGTCATGTTACCTTCTTGGGTAAGATCTCAAGACTGCAATATAAGTACCTGATGAGTGGTTTCGTAGGTGATTAAGAATGTACACAGATAGGCAGATGGTTTAATTTTGTGGTTGATTAGTGCATGCCCTCATTTTAAAAACATGAACAACACATATAACATATGGTAAAGACGTGTAAATTAGAAATAAAGATAGGCCTGGTTTGTTACACAGAAGACAGATATTATTTTGTATCCGGACGATGAAAAGTATTACTTTTTTTGGGAAACAGAATGCTTAGCAGTGTGACAAAAATCTAATGAGAAGCATAAACTGGGGCCAGATGGAGTCAGTAGCCAGCTAGCTTAGCTTAGCACAAAGACTGGAAACAGGAGGAAATTATTAGCCTGACTCTTTTTATAGGTAATAAACTCCACTAACAGCAGTTCTGAAGCTCTGTGTTTAACATATTATGTCATGTTTGTTTAACTGATGCAAAAAAAAAAAGTGCAGGGATGAAGTTGTGGGTTTAAAGGGAGCTATGTGTCCGTCTTCACAGTCTGCTTATTCTGTGTTTTAAATGTTGAGAGCAAGCTTACGTCAAACATCCGATTTGGCTCCTATGCTCAATTTCACTGTACATTTTTGCTTTTCTTTCTGTTGGAACGCCCTTTTAAACAAGCGGCATCCTGAAGCCAAAGCTTAAGTGATAAAAACTGCAGTTCCTGAAATGGTCACTGGAGGCTGCCTCCAAAAACAAACCAATCACCACAGACCCATATGTGAAAAACGACCAACTTTACAGCAGAAATAAACTCATTTACAGCCTGGTACAAAGACAGTTTTGGTCTCTATAGCTAATTTCCCCATTTATGAGAACTGTACAGTGGTGAATCTTTAATTTACTTACTTGTTTGAGTGTATAAAGGCTACACAAAGTTGCATAATTAAGGGTGTGGGTGGTGGTGTTGTCATAGGCAAGTCCATGGCCTGCAGATAACTGTATGGCACACCAGAGTCACACTCCACCTCTTTGCTCATTTTTGGATAAATTGAGAGTTGGGAAGAGTTAGGCACTACCAAGATGGGAACAGTAAGCTTCAAACCCTTCCTACAAAAAACCTGTGGGTGATATCCAGGGGGATCGTCCATCTCTATATACAGTCAGTGCCTTTCCCAATGTTTTCAGTTCTCATGCTAAGTTAAACCAACAGGCTGCTGACTGTAGCCTCAGATTTACCATTCAGATATGAGAGTGTCTGTTACAAGCAAATTAGTGTATTTCCCCATATTTCCCCAAAATGTCAAACCAATCCTTTGAGTAGTTAACCTTTACCTTCATGTAGTACATGAAGACCTCCACCGCCATGTTCATCTCCAGCACTCCATGCACTATGAGTTTGCAGTAGGCCGCAAGCAGATTTCTTCTCCTGTGAAGGTCCTCCAGCCTCTCCACTTCAGAGTTTTCACT